GCCGGTGACACGGGTGACGTCCCGCTCGCCTCGACCTGAAGGTGTCAGCGAGGTCACTGAGAGTCGACGTGATGGACGGCGACCGCCATATGCGCCGGCACAGTGACCTTGTCCACGGGACGGTTTGCGGGGGCGACAATTTTACTTTGGCGGTTTAGTTTTGTTGCACCGCGTAGTCTAGTGTGTGCGTTTTCTCCACTGGGAAAAAGAGGCAGCGGCTTCCTTTTCACTTGAAAGCGCAGGAGCATGCTGGAGGACATCAGCGAGGGGGGGGAAAAAAAAGTGTCGTTGAGATTCCATCAGTGGAGCCTTTGAGTGGAGCTGATGGCAATCTCAAGGTTGCAGGAACCGGAAATGGAGTTTCAAAAAAAAGAAAATTTTATCATCACTTTTTTCTCGGCAGATACATTGCGTTTGGAGGAATAGGATAAAACTCAGGTGTGGGTGTGGGTGTTATCATAGTTTATCATTACTGTTCATTTTTAAAAATTTCATTTTCAGTTTTGTTTATTAAATATGTTTAGTGTTCATGTTTAGTTTTCAGAGTGGGTTTGTTAGGTTTTTAAATCGTTTTAGGTTTTTCAAAAAATGCTTCGTTTTAGTTTTATGGCGGCCTTCGGGCAGTCGGACACCCTGAACTAGTTGCCAGCCAATCGCAGGGCGCACAGAGACGAACCACCATCCACGCCCACACTCACACCAAGGGACAATTTAGAGTGTTCAATCAGCCTGCCATGCATGTTTTTGGAATGTGGGAGGAAACCGAAATACCCGGAGAAAACCCACGCTGGCCCGGGGAGAACATGCAAACTTCACACAGGGAGGCCGGAGCTGTAATTGAACCCGGTACCTCTGCACTGTGAAGTCGACGTGCTAACCACTGGACCACCGGGCCGCCTCGAAAGGGTCAATCCAACGTCATTAGCTTGTCTTTATTGGACGCTTGCAGCCGCGCATGCGCAGTCGTACGCGTGTGTACCGCTCTCGAGTGTGTTGCGGCGGGAGATTGACGAGTTGCTGCGAGCGTGCTGCCAACGTGTGACTGATCAGTAAATATTCTGTCCTGTGCTGCTGCCTCAGCAAGTCTCAGCGCATGGATCACATTGGCAGGCAAGCAGGAAGCAGGGGATGGGGGGGGGGGGGGGGAATTAACCCATGAGAGCCAGTGAGGTTATGCAGGCAACCACACAGCAGCAAACACCATCAACTACTCAGTTCTTTGATTGATGTCCTCGTGGCCTGGACTCGATCGGGTGGGAGAGTCCACTGGAAGGGTTCAGGTTCACTTGCTAAGTGCAGGGCAAGTCTGCGGTTCCGTTCACGTCTTCTCGCTATGCTTTGGAACAGTACAATATTTGAAAGGGAATTTCAAAGTCGCTTTCAAATAGATTTACTTCATACGTGCGAATTTTACAATTGGAATCGCAAAAAAAAACCCCCAAAAAACTGCAACTTTCGTGCAGTCACGGTTGCCTACTAATTATGGTTTCTATGAAATGAAACGCCAAGGCAGTGTTAGCCATGTCCAATCGGGAAGCTCGCAGTTTTTTTTTCCTCCTAAAAGCCGATTGAAAAAGAAAAGAGATTTTTTTTTTCTCTCCCCCCGCTCTGTCCTCTCGCTTGTGTAAAGCCTGCCAGTGCGGACGCGCGAACATGCCACAATGGCTTCCCTGCGCGCTAACATGATTACATTGACGTGGTGGAATGGAGCCAGAAGGAAGCAGGCTGCCTCCCCACTGAGTGGCTGCGCTTCTGCAAGTCAATAATAAACACCCCGCACACCAGGAGCACATCTTCTTCTTTATGATCTACAGGTGATGCCGGGGCATCATTGTCACACTGCTTTTCTGTCCATCTGGGAGTCGGCATCCAGGCGCGCATCCGGAAACTTTCCAGCGGGATGGCCAGGGTGACGCAAGGTCTCACTGAGGGGTGGCCATGAACATGCTCCTCATCCCGTCTGTAACCGAGAAGTCTTTGTTTATCATAGCATCATTCATGAAATATGCTGTAATGCTTACATATAGAGAGCTATGTCATGCACTGATTTTCTTGCTAACAGCTATCAAAGTGATCAGTTGTCACCAACGGCCAATGCCATTTTGCAGACCGCAATCGATGGCTCACTCATTCAAATCAGATCAAAAGAGCACGATGACAAGGAAATCTCTTTTGCTTCGGTGTATTGTTACTATTTTGAATGTGAGTACTGTATATTGGTACCTCGACTTACGAAATTAATTGGTTCTGGCAGAAATTTCTGACCGAGAAAATTTTGCCAGTAGAGACCCGTTTTCCATGTAAATGCCCTAATCGGTTCTAAGCCCCCCCAAAATTCGGACATAAATGTTTTCGAAAGCATAAAAATGCATCAAAATACTGAATGAGAGTTGTGCATCATGTAAAAAACAAAGAATAGAGTCAAGAATAAAAATGATGGTCATTTAACTTTCAACTGCATCCACCTCATTTTTTTTTTGCCCTCTTAAGTTCATGTTCTCTCTCAGAAGTGGTTTGTGCCTGCCATTTTGTGAAGAACCGATCCAAGGAGGTTTGCTTTTGTCGGCTTTTAACAATCCTTCGACAGATATAGTAGAGATCCCTCTTAGCCAATGGGATGCCAGGAAGATGCCAGGCAATAGCCAATAGCAGAGCAGCTATAAGTATTGCTGCGTTCAGGAAACTCGGAGCTGGAAGTAGCAGCCCAAACTGTATTTTTCCCTTTCGTATCTTGAAAGATCTTTCCCAACAAGGGGCAATATTTTCCGATTGAGGCGTTTCGTAACTTGAAAATTTCGAATAAAGAGACGTTGGTAAGTCGAGGTACCACTGTACCAAGGTTTAGAATAGGTATGAAAATCTTCCTCTAGATGGGGCCAGAGAGTGACCAAGGGTGGCCTACTTGTAAGTCAAGAGACCGCTGTATTTTTATACGAGCCGTCTAAAAGTCAAATTTCCATTATATGCCCCCTTTACAGCTTTGAAAAATGATTTTAAAAATGGTCATTGTACGTTACGGCCTTTCTGCGTGAAAACAAGCACTGTGATGACAAACCGTCCCCTTCACATGACCTCGACTCATCATCGTAATAACCAGATAACCTTTAGTGACTCCTCAGCCTAAGTGAGGAAATGCCACATTAAACGAGACAGCGGCGCAAAAAAAAAAGACAAAATCCACATACGCACATTAAAACGGCGTCAAGTGTTAAATGTGTCGTGTCTTAAATGTCACCTGACTGTATAACGTGGAGGGCACGCCGCTGCGCTCTTTGGCTACGGGCTACGGGGAAAGATCACGCTGTCGCCAAGCGTTGTCGAAACATGCTGACAAGCAAAACCGCAAAGGACCACTTAAACGCATTTTGACAATCTGTGGGCAGCTGTAATTAAACACATTTGTCATCCATGCCACTGAGATGCAACTGTCATGACTCTTCCAAAGTGCAAATTGTCAAGCGATTTTTTAAAAAGGGGATATTATATAAAATTGACTTATTTTTTTATACGAATGGTTCTCTGCAATATCTGCCAACCCATCAAGTGCAAAATGAAACAACCAAGTCAATATTTTGGTACAGTACAGTATTTGGAAAATATTTGCAAGTATACTTTTCCCACGATTTAGTATTTTACAGTTTCATTCCAAAGTGGCATAAATTAATCTTCCAAAATTTACACCCATATGTCATTAAAAAAAAAGAAATGAATAAAAAAATGAGGGCCAGATAGTTCATTAAAAACGTTTTTTTTATCTCCATATAGATGACCTTTAACCTGCACAACTCAATTGAAAAAAATCTTACAGAGCGAGAAGTAAATATTATTTTCCAGTCTCGTTGGGCCTGAAAACCAATATACTGAACCCCAAAGTTTCCACCAATGGGCTTAAGGTAAAGAAATGTTATGCTGATTTATGAAAATGCCTATGAATATTAACCATTAAAAAAAATCTATGGCTGCCTCCTGACACGCTAGGATGAATTGAAGTGAGCGATGGAGCAATTATTGTATGATAATGCCTTTCAAGTTTCTTATACAACATATAGATTTCATAGATTTATACACATTAATGAGCTAAGGAGGGCGGGGTGTGGGGGGAGGGGGGTGAGGGGTGGGGCGCATTTGTCTATGCATTGGATTGGCACTCCACATGAGCGTCATCACGCCTTAAATCAGTTTGGAAAGGATTCTGTCTCCTTGCATCGAGCTGACAGCATCCAAATGTTGAAGCATACAGTAGCTGAGACACACGCACACGCACTAACGCACGCACACCCTCCAAGATTGACCTGTCAAAAAAAAAAAAAAAATTCTTAAGTGGAAAGTTGTTTTCCAAAAACCAAGACCCTGAAAATTAGACAGCTCGTCGCCTCTCAGCTCTGTATTTATTCTATATTTTGGATTTTAAAAGTTACCTTTATTTTGTCAACCTCTATTAAATGGAAATTCGCTTATTGCAGGGGTGGTGGAACATATCAAAAGTGAGGGAAGACTGTGTATATTTTTAAGTTGTACTATTAATCATTTAACTATAATTCATGAACCAATCATTAATGTATCGTATATATCAATCTTAATATTTTTTATTTGATCATTTAATAAAGGTCAATATCCTTTCAAGTCGTAAAATAAACAAAATATATAGCCGACCGAGGCTAGAGCCGGAAGTCCCGCCTCGTCTTGTCACTCAAAGCACAGCGTTGCTCGCACCTGGCAATTTTTTTCAGGTGGATTTTGCCGAGCAATATTTGGGCCGCGAAGACGTGACGTGTTTATGAAAAATGAATATGAGCGATTATGCTGCTGTGTTTGGTAGTTAAACCCTGTAAAACACTTTTCTCAATTGTTATATATTTGTTTATAAAGAATTCCGAATTTAAAATTCACAATCAGAGCAAATGCGAACCGTCCCCCCTGTGCACAGGGCAGAGACTTGGTACGGTCCAATTAGTGTTTGCTTGTTCTCCTCTTGGCAACTGATTTTGTATGTGGCAAGACGATACCATTCTTGCTTTTTCCTCGGTGACCAGCTTCCATTTTGTGACCGCAATTCAACAGGTGGCCTGTAACGAGACTAACCAACAGCAAAGGTCAGAAAAAAAACTAATTTGTAGGACACTAAGTACAACAGCTTTTATAAGTTGAAATGGGAAGAATAAACTCCTGCGTTGTCGGCTACAAAATGCTAAAATGCTAACGTGAACCTGAGTGATGAAGGAAACTTTGTTCTGGTGGTTGTATTTGACCTGTGAGGTGGTTTTGGTGTATTTCCAACGCTCACTATATTATTATACTAATATATATTCATAATAATTTATTATGAACCAATATGTTTACATTAGCTTGCTTTGTTACGCTGCCTTGACACTCCACAGTCTCCACTTTGCTGCAGAAATTTCCACTCTCTAGTTTCATAGGATTTTCCACCTTAAGTGTGCTTGGAATTATTTGTTGAAGTGGGGAAATGACAAATGTTACATAGGTGTGGAACTAAGATGCTGATATCATATGACTTTTGTATGTAAATTATGCATGTGTGTATGTTGTGTGTGTGCGAGTGTGCCTGACACTGGACTGGGATGAAATTGTCCTCTATGCTCTCTCCCAGAATCCCTTTGCCAGTATAAACAGAGTGTGTCTGCGAGCAAAAGAGACCAGTGAATTATTAAAGTGTTCTGAAGCGTCGCTCAAAGAGAGCCGGTGAACCACTGAGTCACCACACACACACACACACACACTCTGGCAGGTCCTCCGGTAATACCCAAAAGACGCCATGCTCACAATCCCTTCCCGTGAAGAATGTTTGTGAGTGTTGGTGCTGAGCTAAGCTGGTTGAGTCCACAGTGTCCCTCTGTCCAGCTGCATGTCTTGGATAGTATCCCGTAGTGGTGCAACGATTCGTCGCTTCACCGACGACAAACTGTTGATCAAATTAATTGATAATCATTTGATATGTTTGACTCGTTTAGATAAATTTTTTTTGAAATTAGAAATTTTCCAAACACTCAGCTTCTCAATAGTTACCGGATTTCCATCGTACATGAAAGTGGATGTATTGTCATTGTGTTGAATAAAATTAAAACATTTCCTTTTGCTTGGGAAAACAACACTCAGCATTTTTGCCGATTTTCTGACATGTTGCGTAGCAAACCAGAAACTGAATCATAAGTAATATGACTTTTACAGGGCAAGAATTTTATTTGAGGTTATCATAGGTGCTCCTTACCAGAGCAATCACAGATTGTCAACCGCTCAACGATCGCCAAAGTCCACTGTTCATTTTTGACTTCGTACGAACAATATTTTTCCATCTTTAGAAGGAACGGTCGGCAAACAGAGAATGACACCTCCATTTTTTTTTTCTTGTCCTCTCAAGTCCCGTTGTTTTAATTAAACTGCTAAACTTGATCACATGGCTTAAGCGTAAGTGTTAATCGAAGTCCGTTGATCCTTCTCAACGAGTTGACCATCAACTAAAGAACGAGTTGTGGACCGTTGGGAGTGCAATACCGCAGCATCCGGCGCGAACTGACAATGGAGGAGGACGGTCGTGCGGTTACTTCTCGGCTTCGTGTTAGGAGACCGATTGGAGTCTGGTTAAAGTGTTCTGAAGCGTTGCTCAAAGAGAGCCGGTGAACCACTGAGTCACCACACACACACACACACACACTCTGGCAGGTCCTCCGGTAATACCCAAAAGACGCCATGCTCACAATCCCTTCCCGTGAAGAATGTTTGTGAGTGTTGGTGCTGAGCTAAGCTGGTTGAGTCCACAGTGTCCCTCTGTCCAGCTGCATGTCTTGGATAGTATCCCGTAGTGGTGCAACGATTCGTCGCTTCACCGACGACAAACTGTTGATCAAATTAATTGATAATCATTTGATATGTTTGACTCGTTTAGATAAATTTTTTTTGAAATTAGAAATTTTCCAAACACTCAGCTTCTCAATAGTTACCGGATTTCCATCGTACATGAAAGTGGATGTATTGTCATTGTGTTGAATAAAATTAAAACATTTCCTTTTGCTTGGGAAAACAACACTCAGCATTTTTGCCGATTTTCTGACATGTTGCGTAGCAAACCAGAAACTGAATCATAAGTAATATGACTTTTACAGGGCAAGAATTTTATTTGAGGTTATCATAGGTGCTCCTTACCAGAGCAATCACAGATTGTCAACCGCTCAACGATCGCCAAAGTCCACTGTTCATTTTTGACTTCGTACGAACAATATTTTTCCATCTTTAGAAGGAACGGTCGGCAAACAGAGAATGACACCTCCATTTTTTTTTTCTTGTCCTCTCAAGTCCCGTTGTTTTAATTAAACTGCTAAACTTGATCACATGGCTTAAGCGTAAGTGTTAATCGAAGTCCGTTGATCCTTCTCAACGAGTTGACCATCAACTAAAGAACGAGTTGTGGACCGTTGGGAGTGCAATACCGCAGCATCCGGCGCGAACTGACAATGGAGGAGGACGGTCGTGCGGTTACTTCTCGGCTTCGTGTTAGGAGACCGATTGGAGTCTGGGGGGAGCAAAGAAAACAGGTTGTTGTCGCAAAATGGAGACTGCGGATGATAATGCTGCAGTAGGCGTAAAACACGCTATACGCCCACATTAGCATGAGTGCCGCTGCATCTGTCGGCATAAAAGTCGGGAGGACGCTGGCAATCTTTTATAGCCAGCCAGTGGCAGCTTGCAGCATTATCTGTACTCTGTGTGTGTGTGTGTGTGTGTGTGTGTGTGTGTGTCGGGCTCCACTGACTGCTGCTAGCCAAGCTGGCATTCATTATCAAGCAGGTAATAACACAGAGCACTGGCTCTAACTCAAACGGCCGAGGACTCATTAATATAAACAGGCCCCTAAACCCAAACTCAATTTACTTGAAAGCCTCTTTGGAGACGCTGCTTGAGTAAGTAAAGAGTGTTTTCTTTCTTTCTTTCTTTCTTTTTTTTTTCTCTGCTTCTGCGCTAACTGAATGCACCAAATGTATTCGTCTGTATTCTGCCAACACACGTCCCCCACTCTGCTGTAGTTTAAACCCTAAATGTGCTCCGAGCTCTGATCCCCAAAACATTTTGTCGTTTCAAACACATTTTGCAGCATCACCCTGAAACATGGGCACATGGTAGCAGGGAACGATACGGATCACATCCACATTCATGTTATATAGATTATATATCTATATAACATGTTTTTTTTTTTTAATACGTTGTGTCTTTGATGACGCACAATCGGCGTCATTAGCCTCCCATGGCAGGATGTCATCACAGGCGCCGTGGGGGGATGTCGACTCAAATGCAATTCATATATGCAGAGGCACAGGTGCCGCCATCTTGTAGCTGCCATTCATTCGCCACGTGCCGGCGCTTTGATTGATGACGTGAGATTAAAAGACAGGTGCGATTTATTGCTAAGAAATACACATGGACACCATGGAGTGTTTGACATCAGTGGGCCCAACGTGTTACATAACATCCTAATACAATTGCTCCGAGCTCTGATCCCCAAAACATTTTGTCGTTTCAAACACATTTTGCAGCATCACCCTGAAACATGAGCGCAGGTGGTAGCAGGGAACGATCACATCCATATTCATGATATCTAGATATATAATGTTTTTTCTCATACGTTTTGTCTTTGATGACGCACAATCGGCGTCATTAGCCTCCCATGGCAGGATGTCATCACAGGCGCCGTGGGGGGATGTCGACTCAAATGCAATTCATATATGCAGAGGCACAGGTGCCGCCATCTTGTAGCTGCCATTCATTCGCCACGTGCCGGCGCTTTGATTGATGACGTGAGATTAAAAGACAGGTGCGATTTATTGCTAAGAAATACACATGGACACCATGGAGTGTTTGACATCAGTGGGCCCAACGTGTTACATAACATCCAAATACAATTGCACACTAAATAGTTGGCCGTAATGTTTTGTCAAGGGCAAACTCTCATTTTCCTACTTTTGCACCCAAAGATGCTTACTTGTGTTTTTTTTTTTTTTTTTTTAAAGATCTTTTTCGGCAGGGTATACATTTATTCACCTGCCAAGCCATTAGTCGCATCAGCACAATCGATTGAGAGCCAATACAAAATGTTACGTTTTGTGAAAGAGGTATTTATTTAAGAATAGATGCACTCCCGGTATTGCACTGCCTCATTCTGGGATGCTTCCAATTTTTTGTCCCTCTTATGTAGCTAAATAAGCTAACTAAAAATCCATCCATCCATTATCTGAATCGGGGGTGTGCTGGAGCCTATCCCAGCTGTCTTTGGTCAGATTACAGATTCTCTAAACAAAATCTAGTGCATAGGGACAGGTAGGTTTGGACTTTTTTTTTTGTTGTTGTTGTTTCTAAATAAATTGGCAATTACAAACTGCTTTTTTTCCCTGGGTTGTCTCAGTGTGATTGTTAAAATTAGTTTGATGAACTGATATCTTTGTATGTGATAATTATGTAAAGAACACAGAAATCAGGAAAGGGCCTAATACTATTTCACAGCACTGTAAATTGAAATGTAATCGCCGTCACGATCATAAACATGGCAAATGTCAATCTTGCAGTCTGCGGTAAAATTGAGTTGTTCTTCTGTGGGTCAATGGGTCAGTCTTTCCTCATTCTGATGGACATCCCTAATCTGTTGAGTACTTGGCAGTTATTCCCAAAATTATTGATTTGTAATTTCAGACAAAATGCCCACAGTAACTGAAGTCGAAGTCTGTATAGGTACCGTATGTTTGTCATCCAGTTTCCACAGATTACTGAGCCAGGGTTTAGAGGACTGCCTCCCAAATGCAAATGAAAATGGGACCGCTTCAGCATTCCCAGAGTCAGTATGCTGGTCCACTCTCGAACCAGCCTCCATCCTCTTCCTCCTCCTCCTCCTCCTTCCTCAGCCGCTCAGCAAGCATTCGTAATTAACAAGCTTTTACAGTTCGATCTGATCCCCCTTGAGCTTGGATATACGTCTGCGAATCCCAATGGAACACAGGCTGTCTGCTTGCCGCTGCCTGGAAATACTGGAATAATGAAGAACATCTTTAATTTCCCTCAAGAGATGAAGGAAATTAATCTCCCTATCAGTCCTAGATAGTTAGCCCGGCTGGTTGATAGCTATTACCTCACCGGTTATCTTATCTATTAATTTAACCCCAAACCCCCTCTCGTTGACTTATTAGTATGTCTCCGCTCTTTAAGCTCCCTGTTTTATTGATTTTATTTTGCTGTTGGCTTATCAGTGTGTTGGTCCGAGTCACTGAGCCGAATGTTCTACTGAGCTAATAGCTCACTGGTTAACCGAAGAAGACATTTTGGCTAATTGGCCAAAATGTCTCATTTGCTCTTACCTGGATGATTAGGTTACAGTATTTAAATACTTTATTTATTTATCAAACTAGTAAGTCAAAATGTCTTCTTGTGTATAAGCTCAGTGGTTTGCCAAAGAAGACTTTTGGCTAACTGGTTACGTACAACATACACCAGTAAGCTTAGTAAAAATTTTACACAAGCTAACCAGTGAGCCGATCGCGAAGAAGAGATTTTCTCTGAGCTCACGGGTTAGCCCATCTTTGTGTTATGTCAGCATGTTGACTTATTAGACCAAACAAGTTAGCCAAAATTACTGGTTAGCTATTAGCTCACTGGTTGGATTATCCGTAGATCAGCCCTAGTGAGTTAGATGTTGTACGGGGGATTTAAAGAAAGTCCAAACAATTGACTTGGGCTTTTCCCTGTCAGGGGACACCACAGCGAGTCACTTGCATGATTTGTTTGGCAATTTTTACACCTTAGCAATGCATCCATTTTAGCTTGCTTGTCAACAGAGCCATCTATGTATAGCTAGCTTATGTATCCTTGCTATGAAGTTTTGTAATTAGTTGGTTGTTGGCATATTTTTCTCAAGCAAACTAGGTAGCCGTATCCTCCGCAGAGCTGCTATTTTAGCTTGCCAGTTAGCTGTTGGCATATCTCTTCAAGCATCAGTCACAATGGTATAGATCTTTACATCTCTTTAGCATATGCTTTGTGTACTCTGACACTCTTCCGATGATTACTACGAAACGACGGCATCAGCAATTCATCTCTCCGGTTCGTTTGAGTGGCTCACTATTTTATTTCCAAGAGACTCGTCAATGGGAAGTAGAGAAGTGGCAAAGGTCATTTGGTGACGGTAATGATGTTTTAAGTGGGGCGTGCTGCAGTGTGGTATGAAAAGTGAGATTCTTTTTCCTTGCAGATGATGTCCTACACCAGCATTCATTCAGTCAAGCAGCGCTATCAGGGTTTATTGCAGTGGCCATAGCAACAGCAGTGAAGTGGAGAGGAAGGTGAAGATTTTTGTTGTTGCGCTAATGCACCGAGTGTCCTTGTTGCAATGGGAAACTGTTTTAACCACCTTTTTAATTTCCTTTTTAATATCCACCCATCCATCCATTTTCTATAACTCATTACGGTCATGGGTGGGCTACAGGAAACCAACTTATTTTGGGCAAGAGGCAAGGTTTACTCTGGCTTGATCAATCACAGGTTAAATATGGGCAAACTAGAATTCACATTGACACACGCGGACAATTTCATTCTTCAGTTTCACGCTGATGGTATTCTTATTTAATGGGTTTGGCATTTTCTCCTTTCTGCCACCTTAAATGCCAACCAAGGACATACGTGCAGCTGCTATTATTTCGAAACTTTGTTGAAGAAATGGGAAGGAAAGCCCGACAGGTGACTCGATAAGGCTTGTGCTGGTCACACCGATCAGATGTTCTACTAATAAAATAGTTGTCTGTACACACGGCAATAAGTGACAATTTGTCATTTTTAAAGTTCAACATTTTATCTTAACATGAGCGTTTGAAACTCTATGTTAACGCCGCACCCCTGCGCTCCTCTCATGGTCTTTTCTCACTTAAAATTGTGCAGAGGAAGCAAGATGACTGCAGACTTGAAAGCACAAAACTCGCATAAAAGCTTCCATTGCGAATGACTGAATGAATGACATAACTGATATTTGTGCAGATTGTCATCAGATTTGTGTGCAGTATCTTGTGACTGCAACACTTAAGGGAGGAGGAGATGCTGCTATTAGGTGTAATGTGGTAACAGTGTGGGCAGGTTGGGAGGGGGTGAGCGTCAGGAGGATGTCGGGATGCTGAGCTCTGCAGCGGTGAGTGTCGAGCTAACCACTTGTGAGCGCCCCCCCCCCACCCCCCACCCCTTACCCCCTTTCGACTGCGTGCCGGTGCACTCGTCTCGCCGAAACACACTCCCTCTTGCATCTGTCCTCCACCTCGGCGGCCGCCTTCAACTGCACTCGCTCTCTGCAGGTTTCCATCGGAGCGGCTCTGGATTTCGTGAGAGAATTCCTTGGTTTCTGGACGAAGAGGAAAAGGGTTGGAAGCGGAAGAAAAGGAGTGGTGGACGAGGAGTGCCGGGGTGGTGACCGAGAGGAGGATCCGGGAGTGACCCACACTGTCCATCAGGTGTGTGTTCAGTCTACTTATTTTTTAAATGTAGGAATTATATGAGGATATACCGTATGTATGTATGTATGTACATATAGACAAGCACTGTTGTCACTTTGCTGATTCAAGCTCAATTTTAGAACACACTATGCGACTGAGAATGCTGAGATAATTAGCTATCCCATGCTAAGCCGCGGATTCAAGTTAAACAACATTTGGGACTTTTCTAAAGACCTTTTTGTTCTGATATAGCTAACTTTTCCCACAAAAAGTTCACCATGTTCATGGTAAAAGTGACAAGATCATTGACGCCCTTATCCCGTATTGTTCTTTACAGCCACTAGAGGGCGTCTGGATATTGCTATGATGTGCTGTGATGCATTAAACAGACTCATTTGTCATTTCTTTGTTTTGTATTCAAGAGTTTTTTTTTTTTGAGGTTTGGTCTTAGTGGAGGAATTTGCGCATTCACCGTATGATTTTTCATATTCTATCGTGGATTGTATAAAGAGATGCGAGGAGGAGAATAAATATGAAAGAAAGTGGAAAGAGTGTTGTCGGCTCATGCTGACCGACATGTTTGTGTGTGTGTGTGTGTGTGTGTGTGTGTGTGTGCGCGTGCGCGTGTGTTTTCAAAATGGCTTGTCGTACTCTGGCGGGGTTGAAATCTGGCATCAATCACAGCACGACTGGGTGCTGGCTTGCCGTTCCCCTGGCAGTTTCTGTGTACATGAGTGTGGGAATGTGCTCCACAGCAGCCAGTAAAATAATTTCACACATGTCCTGTGCAAACTCATCGTAGGTTTTCGCGTCGTCCATCTAAATTGAGACTCCCCTAACCTGGCCTGACGGCTGCCCGGCCATCATTTCACAGTCTCAATTGGCCACAGGATGCAGTGAATGAAGTAACTGTCCATCACCCGTAAAGTATCTAGGAGCCGTCTTTACTGGTGCTCAGAGAGACAGATGGAGGTGGTATGGGGCCAATAAAGCGATGTTCCTGCAGGATACAAATTTTCAACATACGAAATGTGACTTTTTTGCACTTGGGCCGTAGGGACGTCATGGGCAACAATTTCTTTTTTTTTTTTCCTTCTAATTTACCCGATCAGCTGCAGCCTCTTATACAGTGTCCTGTTCCAACCTGACTGAGTGTACAGCTTCTGTACAGGTTGATCTCCAGGTCTTTTTTTCTTGCCCTCTTCATGAATTTTCCACTAACTGGGGTCCATGTCATTGCCGCAGAGGTATTTTGGACTTCAGTCCGTGTGCGGTGGTATGCACTTAATGCTCTTATATTCTGTGGTGTATTCCAGTTGAGCAACACAGCCTCTCCTCCAACCGAACCAAATGTGTGTTGTAGTACCAAAACTGACCTGAGAGAGGCAGCATAGTGTCAAGGGGCATCTAGACATAAGGTTCAAAGAGGAATGAACAATAGAAGAAGATATAGAAGAGGCTATGCTAACTGTTGACTGAAGCTGTGCTTGTCTGGTAGCTGCATTGCTTCATAATTGTGTTTGCGAACGCTAGAATTGGATGTATTTCATACGTAAGATGCCACTATGTGTAGTTTTTACTTTTTAGAAGTGGTTGGTAGGCCAGTGCCCCTTTTTGACCAAATGCCAGGGGGAACGGGGCGAGATTAAATGCCCGTGGATCCAATCAGTTAGCAACTGTGACTCAGCCGACTCCATTATGGTGTATGTGTGACTCAGCAATATGCGCGCGGTCGCGCGCGCGCACACACACACACACACACACACACACACACACACACACGACTCAAAATAATAAAGGAAATGTTGAAACACGTTTTGATCTCACTGAATAAGCTATTGCAGTTGAGACCCTTTATTATATTGTGGAATTTGTTGGGAGCAAAATAATTGACTTGTCTGGATTCATACTCAAAACAAAAGTGTAAAAATCAGATTATATACTGATTCACCTTTTGGTGGAACTTCCTCACAACAATTAAAAATGAGATTCAGTCGTGTGTGTGTTTTCCGTGTGCCTGCATGTACACTCTGCAGCAACTTTGCCTGCTCCTGATGAGGCGATGGGTGACAGACCATGGTTGCATCAATAAACACCTGGACAGTCTGTGGTGCGATGTTATGGTGGTGGACGGAACAAATGTGCTCGATTGGATTTGGTTCTGGGGAACGGGCAGGCTAGTCCATAGCATCGCTAACTTACTCATGCAGAAACTGCTGATGCACTCCAGCCACTTAAGGCAGAGTATTGCATCAGTTAGGGCACCTCAGGTACTTGCTACTATTAGATCTCCTTTCACACTGCTCTGGCAGTGCTGCTCCTGTTCCTCCTGTTGCTAGGTTGTTGTTGTTGTTGTTGTCCTCCTCCTCCTACAGTCCCCTTAACGTCTCTTGACCTTGTCTCTTGGTACCAAAAAAAAACAAACTTGCTGTCCTGGCTGAGCTGCACTGCCCGCGCAATTTCCGTGAGTTGCAGATGCTGTCCGCAGTGACCTAAAGTGAACTAAAATCGTCAAGAAAGGGTGAGGACAGGAAATTGGTCTGTGGCCGCCATCTGAAGAAGCATTTCTTGAAAAGGGCTTGTCTTGCGAATTGCCTCTCATTTCCACCTGTTGGCCGTTCCACACAACAGCGGGTGCAATTGATTGAAAATCACTCTTGATTCCTAACTGGGCAGGTTGATCTCCCACAAGTGTGATTGACTTAGCGTCGTGTCGATAGGATTGTGTTCCCTTGATGATTTTGAGCAAGCGTATATTGCTACAGTGCTGAATATTGACTGCCGTTATTGGTGCTGGCGTCGTCGTCGGTCGCAGTGTCCGCACACAAGCCACTCGTAACTTTACACCCCCCCCCCCCCCCCCCCCCCCCCCCCCTGCCGCTAGAGTGTCATCAGTTAAACCGAGAGGGGAAAATCCAATTACGTTGGTCTCGCGCTGTCTGCCTCCCGAACGAAGCGGCGTTTTGATAACTTTGATTGCTCAAATCTGCTTCAATCACGGGACGCGCCCACAATGCTGTGACGGCCGTGGTGTTGAGTAGCGGAGGTGATGCCGGTCTTGGCTCCGTATATCCTGACGGGAGAATCCCATTATCCTTTTCCATACGTAGCTGCCACACAGCCTTTCGCGGATGGCGCTTTGTCGACGCCATGTATGAATGAGCAATTTAAATGCACATATCTTCTTTTGTTGTGCTGCATGTTTTTTTTGCCGTATTAATGCACATATTTATTGTGTGTCCTCTTTGTGTCCTTTAAAAGGATCCTTGGGTGTGGTAAATAACGCTACAAAGTCGATGAAAATGAGGAGAGATTTTTTTTTTCTTTCCTCCCTTCGCGGTTATAATGAGGGCTCATTTGATCTCCATCTCCGCGCAATCTCATCATTCAGGATTGCAGCGGAATGAGGATGATTGCGTGTATTATATTTAGGCCACGTTTGTATGGTGTGTGTTTGTTCGTGACAATGGTTGTTTAAGGCTGACAAACAAGTGCGCCTGTTGACGCACCTGTTGTATTTGATTAGGGAATAGATAAAATAGGTCAACATGATACAAAAGGAGTCATTTTTATTGTTGCTTGTTTTGCACTGAATTGTGTTCTGTAAACAGAAGCACATTAATTAACACGGATCATTTGGGACACAGGGCAAACCTAAAGAGCAATTTGGGAGGCTTGAAGAAGTGGGATTTGGCTATTGTGTGTGATGAAGTGCTGCCTCTACTACTGAAAATGGTATGCATGCTTTTAATGTCTGTGGGTGCTTGCTTAATTCTTCGCACTTTATTCGTCTGATAATTTGGGACATAGGGCAGACCTAAAGAGCAATTTGGGAGGCTTGAAGAAGCGGGATTTGGCTATTGTGTGTGATGAAGTGCTTGCTGCCTCTACGACTGAAAATGGTATGCATGCTTTTAATGTCTATGGGTGCTTGCTTAATTCTTCGCACTTTATTCGTCTCGTCCGAGGGTCGGCAACCTGCGCCACTTTCATCCTTACGTTGATACAAAAGGAGTCATTTTTATTGTTGCTTGTTTTGCACTGAATTGTGTTCTGTAAACAGAAGCACATTAATTAACAGATAATTTGGGACATAGGGCAGACCTAAAGAGCAATTTGGGAGGCTTGAAGAAGCGGGATTTGGCTATTGTGTGTGATGAAGTGCTTGCTGCCTCTACGACTGAAAATGGTATGCATGCTTTTAATGTCTATGGGTGCTTGCTTAATTCTTCGCACTTTATTCGTCTAAAGGGGTCGGCAACCTGCGCCACTTTCATCCTTACGTTGCGACTCTGCGTGGCTTGGGACAATAAATTAGAGTGCATGTTATTTGTCTCGCAAATGTGGATCACTTCTGTTCTGTTCTCTGACTGTACACTACGTGGCGGTGTTGCTATGAAAATACCCTTGAGATGAAAAAGAAAGGGGAGGTAATGGCGAATATAGAGTGAGTTGTAGGAACGAGTGTTGTACTGTTAATAGCCTGATAAGGAAATCGTGATTGGCCTTGTTATTTTGCCTCCCAACACCGCAACTTATTTCTTCAGACTTTGTGCAATTTCGGTAATCAGCCTTCACGTTCGCCTTCTTCACACACGTTTGCGAGCACTTGACGTGTCAGCATGCAGATTTGACAGGTGGCATGCGCGGAAAGCCCAGTGACAGCAAAACTGCACAATATAGGAACAGAGTATTTTATTTGTGTTTGTTCGTTTGTTTCATTGTGGCTCCCTCCCAGTTTTGTCTTTTTCGTGGAAACCGGGTCGAAATGGCTCTTTGAGTGTGAAAGGTTGCCGACCCCTGGTCTAGTTGTTGATGCTAGCATTGTTGCAATGCCTTTGGCTCCGCCCCCTGTCGGTAATAAAAGCCGTTCTTGCATTGACGCATGCCGCAATCGAGGGAGTGGGGCGACCAGTGGCTCTTTCGTGAAAAAGTGTACTTTTTTTTTTAAATTTAGCTACGGAATATAAAGGATTTAACCGTACAAATTTTATGGAGAAGCATCTTATTGAACCTCA